CCCCACTGAACATCTTTGGAAAGAATTAGAACATGGATTGTGAGCCAGGCCTTCTCGTCCAACATCAGTGCCTGACCTCAAAAATGTTCATTCGACTGAATGGACACAAATTCCCACAGACACACTCCAAAATCTTGTGGAAAGCTTCCCAGAAGAGTGGAGACTGTCATAGCCACGCAGAGGTGGCAAATTCATTTTAATTAATAGTTTTGGAACGGGATGTCCAACAAGCTTATACAAGTGTGATGGTCAGGAGTCCACATCCTTGTTCATTTAGTATACATCTTATGGAAATAGTACATACTCTTATTGTCCTAACACATGCAATGTATGGTGACATTAAGTGTCTGTGTTTCGAATGTCTGTAGCCATGGTGTATGTAAAAGTTTGGCCTCAACTGTAGGAAGCTTGAGTTAGTTCAGTTAAACCAGCCTTTAGTTCTTAATGAGACAGTGATATGAGCATGGCTATGCGAGTGTGTGTGGTTGGTTTCGTGTGGAGGAGGTGAGGTCACTCTGAAGCGCAGTTGGCTGGAGTTGTGTGTTCAGTCAGCCGTGTGTAAGTGGCGGAACAGGAAAACAGCAGCAGATGGTTCATTCAGCACACACTGAGTTATGAGCTATGACCAGTGTATGTTTATTTGTTTATTTATTTATTCGTAATCTTTCGCATAGGTTCATTGTTTGAGGTTCATTTTTCGCATAGGTTTCATTGTACTTTGTATATCCTACAACAATGAACTGTAGTAACACTAAGAAACTGAGAGACTGTATGAGGCCTCATGGAGGCCTGTGGGTGTTAGTGTGTGTGTGTGTGTGTGTGTGTGTGTGTGTGTGTGTGTGTGAGAGAAAGAGAGATTAGCAGCACTCTGTGTGCTTCACATGGAGGCCGAGGTGCGAGCGTGTGAAAGAGAGAGAGATTCTAATGACTGCATCAGTGTGTGTGGTAATCATGGTGGCCAAGCGTGTGCGGGTGAGAGTTTCTATGGTCACAGTCCCTCCATGTTAGAGACATAGAGCGCTATACAGTCTTATGCATATGTTTGAACACTATACGGACTTATGCGTATGTTTGAGCACCCCTGGTCAAGTCAAGTTTTTATTTTTATTGTATTGTAGGTTACTATGGAAACCCACATCTATAATGACATTGTGTCTCATAATAATAAGAAAAGTTTTCATAAGATTGACTTACTATCTCATAATAATGACTTACTGTCTCATAATAATGAGAAAAATAAAAAATAATCCTAATTAGAAAGTAAGTCAGAATTATAAGATACTTCATTATGAGATACTGTGTCATTACTATGAGATAATAAGGCATAATAATAACAACATCACAATTGTGACATAGTAGGTCATTATTGTGAGATGCGCAACACACACTAAGCCACCACCACCATGCTGCTGTCACTGCAGTGCTGAGAATGATCCACCACTCAAATAACACCTGCTCTGTGGTGGTCTTGTGGGGGTCCTGACCATTGAATAACAGCATAAAAGTGGGCTGATAAATTGTACAGAGAAACAGATGGACTACTGTCTGTAATTGTAGAACTATAAAGTGCTCCTATATGGTAAGTGGCGCTGATAAAATGTATATAGCTGGTTGGTGTATATGTTTTGCATGGAGCCCCCTTGTGGTCTGAAAAGAATGGAGCATGCAACTTGAAAGATGCCCAAGTTAGAGGAGTGCCATGCCAGCATCCAAAGTAAAGGGCAGAGGCAGATATCCATCTTGAGGTGAGAAAATGAAAGCTTAAAAGGCAGAGAATGAGAAACAGGCCCAAAATCCCAGTAAGAAATGAATACTAACTTTGTCTAATAACTTATTTTACCTGGTTTTCTGTTTTCTTTCTCCTACTATTAAGCTTAATGCTGTACAAGGAATGAAAGTGGTAGCTAATGAGCTAGTATCTAGAGTAGGGCATGCTAACACATCAAGTAGGGTGCTTATGGCCCCCAAATGTTCAGGTATGACCCTGTTCATGTTCAGTGAACTCAAAAAGGCAGCCTGATTACTCCTTTTATTTTTTAGTACTCATTCACTTGAGATAGATAGAGAGAGATGTTAAGAGAGATTCTAACAGTAGTATTAGTGCGAGTGGTTCTCACGGAGGTTTGTGAGTTAAAGAGAGAATAAAGTACTATGGTATGTGCTGGTGTATGTGGGTGTCTGTGTGTGGTGTGAAGCTTCCCCCATGCTGAATAAGCACCTGTCTAGTTTCACACGGACAATGTTTTGTACCACCCTCTTTTGGACAGATGCGGGTCTGTGTGGCTATTTTTTTGGCCACTGCTTCAGTGGACAAAGGCCAATTTCAGCCAAATTCACTTAAACTTTTGATGTTAATGATTCTTATGGCTCTGGTCTTGCATCTGTATATTATAGCACGAGGCCAGTCAGAAGCTTATCACAGCTTTCAGCTCCACCGATCTGGTCTGTTTAAAAAAAAAACAATCACATACCTGCACATTTTATGTTTTCCTGCTTTGACCGATTATAGTGTTTAACCAAGGTTATATTAAAAAGAATGGTTAGGCAAAAAAAATCAAATGTACACAATTTCCCACTTACCTCAGAAGTAGTTGATGAGCTGTTTGGTGTTTGGTGTCCAAATTTTGCTTCTTTAATTTAGCGCTGGAGCTACAAGGCTACTGTTGCTAACAAAAATGAGCAATCAACTTCTAAGATTGAACTTTGAAGTGTGAAAGAAAATGCGGATTTGTTTGAAAATTTCAAGGAAGTCTCCTGAAAATAATGGAAGCTGTAATAAAGAGTGGACACATTACATACTGAAAATGTACTATTATATTTAGGTGTTGATGCTTTTTTGTAATTTTCTGTTGAATACACCTTTTCTACTTTCTTCCTGGCACTTGTAGGAAGAAACAAATAGTGGTCTCTGTTCTGTATATTGCAAGCCAGCTTGTCTTTTGTCTTTACTTTTGGTTATAATTAGTGTTGGTGGGGAGAATTTCTTGTGGGCCGGTAGCATTTTGTGCTGGTTCCTTTGAGCTAATGAATAAATCACACACTAAACACTTTATTAGGAACACCTGTCCACCTACTTATTCTTGCAATTATCTATTTGGCCAATCATGTGGCAACAGTGCAGTGCATAAAATCATGCAGATACAGGCCAGCAGCTTCAGGTAATGTTCACACCAATCATCAGAATGGGGAAAATTAATCTGACACAAAGGCTATATTAACTCAGATAACCACTCTGTATCATTGTAGTGAGCAGAAAAGTATCAAAGAATGCACAACACGTCGAACCTTGAGGTGGATGGGCTACAACAGCAGAAGACCAAGTTGGGTTCCACTTCTGTCAGCCAAGAACAGAAAGTTAAGGCTGCTGTGGGCACAGGCTCACCAAAACTGGACAGTTGAAGACTGGAAAAGCATAGTCTTGTCTGATAAATCTCAATTTCTGCTAAGACACACAGATGGTAGCATCAGAATTTGGCACCAAAAGCATAAATCCATGAACCCAACCTGCCTTGTGTCAACAGTCCATGGTGTGGAGAATGTTTTCTTGGCACACTCTGAGCCTGTTATTCCAATCAATCATTGCTTGAATGCCACAGCCTATTTGAGTACCATTGCTGAACATGTGCATCCCTTCATGGCCACAACATACCCATCTTCTGATGGCTACTTCCAGCATGATAATGCACCATGTCACAAAGCAAAAGTCATCTCAAACTGTTTTTATGAACGTGACAATATGTTTAATGTTCGTCAGTGGCCTTCCCAGCCACCGGATCTGAATCAAATAGAACATCTTTGGGATGTGGTAGAATGGCATGAAGGTGCACTTGAAAAATCTGCAGGAACTACATGATGAAATCATGTCAACACGGACATGTGGAATCTGGCGCCATCCATCATGCCATGAAAGCTCTTTTGAGAGCAAATGGAGGCCCTACCCAGTATTAGTGCTCAGTGAGTGTATATCTGTAGTGATTTAGGGGACCCAGTGGCCCCCCACCTCAAGTGGTGCAGCCCAGGTTTGCTGATTGTAACCGAGTCTCGTACAGTGGATAAAGACAAGGTGAAGCTGAAGTTAGCTTCTTACTCTTATTTCCTGTTCCATCTTAAATGATGTAGCAGTTAAACCCAGATGCCCGTATGGGCGCTAGCATGTACCTGCTGCACTATTTAAGGTGGAACAGAAATTCAAATAAGATACTAACATCAGTCTTGAGAGATTAGTGTATCAAATTCAGCACAATGATGACAACAGGCAGTTCAGTACTTTTCATGGATGAATCGTGAAGATGGACAACAGCACCAACAACTGCAAAAAAACAAGATGGCACAGAGAAGACATAAATAAAAAAGCTACATAAGCAGGATGAGGACATATCCGAGCAAGTGGGTAGTGAGAAATGCTAACCTAAACTCGCATTTGTTTTTAGCATGTTGACTATGATTGTCATGTTTAAGAGAAAAGCTTTTTCTTGTTTTCCTGTTATAGCTAGCCACCTTGATTATCTCAGTAGAGCATATATACAGTAAATGAAAGAAATGAAGATGATATTGTGTTGATTACCAAAATGTTATTGTGAGTGTGTGTGTAGCAGGAGAAATACAGCTAGAGTTTAGGGTGGGTCTGATCTGCATCACGTAACTCCCAGTCTGAAAGTGCCACTCCAGCCCTGGCTATAATTGCTTTGATGGGTTGAATTAAGCCAATTCAGTGCATCACCTTTTACAGTACTGTTGACAGGCAATGTATTTGATGGCCCCTTAAGGAATTATCAGTAAAGCTGCTCATTGTACCTCATCATCTCCATTACTTGCCCACCCGCTCTGCTGCTGACGGACAGCTGATTAGCTGCCCGGCTCGATGAGGCCATGTGCGCGTCCGGTTTCACCCCGGGGTGATACGTGATAGTACGGGGTCTTGTTGCCCCGTCTGAGTGCAGGAGGGCGATCAGCGGCCGGTCTGCCAAAAAACATTTAGTGTAGCGGTTGAGGGAGCAAGAAGACACTGGCTAGCGCTCTCTCTCTCGCTCAGGTTTAATTGGGGTTGGACAGCGGTGTGCACGTTGGATGAAGCATCAGGCCACTCCAGTTCTTTTTTCTGCATCAATGTGAATCTTCCTTCCCTGGGACATGAACGGGACGCTGCTGGCTGTCTGCTTTGGGATGCTGTTCTTGGAGGGTAAGAGTTTATGATAAGCCTGATTATAAGTCTTCAAGCATAGATATGTTATAACAGCTGAAAGAAATTGCATTTTTTTCTTTTTTTTCCGTAAGTTATGGGGTTTAAGTGAGGTCCGTTTCTTGCAATATAAGCTGTCTTGGGCCCTGTTTTTGTTTTTGTTTATTTTATTGTTTTATTTTGTAATTTTGCGTGTGGTTTTCTGTATGTATTTTTTGTTCATTGTTTATTTATTGTATTTACAGTCCTATGCAAGAATGTAAATACTCCTCATCAAATTAGATGATTTGTTGATAATTTCATGTTTTCATGTTAAAATAAGTGAACAATGAATTGTTGTATAATAGAAAATGTTACATAATTTGGGTTATGAGTATTAAATCGTTAAATCATCACTAACGAACTATAATAATTTATTAAAAATGTGCAATTCTGAATAATTATTGATTATTCATGTCACTAAGTAAATGGTTAATCATTCAAATTATATCATTTATTAATACATATGTAATTGCCACATATTTATTAACAGTCATTAACAAACTATTAGTGATTAAGTTGCTGTTTATTAGGACCTGTTATTACATAATAAATTAACACATCCTTTACAGGGAATAACCTTAAACATGTCATTGTTCTGCAAATTTTAGTGCACACTTTCTATTTATTTACTCAGTTAAACATATAAAAAACACAGTAAAATATACAGTATAAAATGCTCCATAACTTTTGCACAGGTCACATTTTATGTTTTATTTGTTCACTTTAGCAAATAAAGAAGTGTGTTCTCTGTAGATGATATGTTAACTAATTTTCACTTAGAAAATAACCAAAATATTTGATCAGGGTCACCCAAACTTTTGCATACGACTGTATATTAAGAAGGGCTGTCAGTATCAGTTATATTAGTGTTCAAGTTATCAACCTTATATTTTGACATTCAAGTAATCAGAGCTTTAACAGGTAAAAAAATACCTAGCCACTTCCAAAGTCATTTATTATAAAAAACATAAACTTGGTATTTAAAAATATATTGGAACCCTATGTGGCTAAAAATCCATGTAAATAGTTGTGTCTATCAGACTTTCAGAGAGCAGTATGAAAATTTTAAAATATTATTGCTAGAAGTAAGTAAGTAAGTAAATAGTGAGTTTTATTTTTCTACTTTTTTGAGCTCAGCAGCTGCTCTTCTGTGCTGTGAAAATTTCATTGTGAATGGACCAATAGAAATGCTCCAAAACTGCTTAGAATAAATCATTTTTTACATTAAATTACATTAAAAGTAAAGAATGTTTTTGCCCTCTATTGTAAAGCTACCATTTTTGAGATACATGTTATTCTTTGGATAGTAATGTTTGTTATTATTATTATCATTATGCATTACCTTCATGCAAAGCGACAATGAATCATTGCCAGTTTATTAGGAAAGTAAATTTGAATTGCTATTTTTCACCAATTTACGTGGTAATAAATAATGATAGCCCTACTAAATAATAAAAAAGAGGATTGATTAAAGGAGGATTGATTGCATGTGTGCATATATGTGTGTGTGTGTGTGTGTGTGTGTGTGTGCTCGTGGGGTGTGTGTATGTGTGTGTGGTGTACAGTAGCTCACTCGGCACAAGGGCGCTTCGCACAGCAGCTGTTGAATGATCTAATGGAGAATTACTCCAACGCCCTGCGGCCGGTGGAGGATACAGACAAAACCCTCAACGTCACCCTGCAGATTACACTGTCTCAAATTAAAGACATGGTGGGTACGCAGTACACACACACACACACACACACTCCTGAACACGTGCACATGCTTCACTGCCGTGTAGATCATACATCATAAATTAATGGCAACTCCAAAATCTACAGTGAAAAACATATTAGGAGAAACATACTGATAAAATACATACATTATATGTACAGAATATAAAGAGCACCGGTGTTTTAAAGTTTTAGCTATTTTTATTTTTACATGTGACAAACTTCATTGACCTGACCTTCTTGGCCTGTCCCTCACTCACCCTGCAGAATCTCCACAAAAGGTTGCTGTTAGTGCTTATGTGCATCAAATTGAGGAAATGGCCCGAACAGAACTAAATACAGCTTATCCAAGATTGCAGTTCAGCAACTAGCCTGGCAAATAGCTATCAGGCTAACAGGCTGCTCCAATAATAGTCAAAGTTAGAGACTGTAATATATTGAATGCTTTGCCATAAAATTCCAACACTCACAGTAAATACGTTACTTGAATTTCTGATATAATCTGCAAATGTATGCATTTAAGCAAGAGCTGTAGTGCAAAATCCAGTGTGTTTTGGTAGAGATTGTTAGAATAGTGACAATTTTATCTGATTTTAAGCAGACCTCAAAAATGCTAACCAGTACATGACTAGCCAACACAGCTTAAAACAGTTGTACACACATAAAATCATAGTGTTTTCATGAAAACAGAATAAAGTTTATCTAATTGCAGTAAATATGTGTTTCGGTGGTGACAATTTCTAAGGTTACACACTGATTTTAAGACTTTGGGATGCATTCACTTCAAAACAAAGGGATCTAACTGCCATGAGGGACAGGGAAGTGATGCAGTCTCACTTCCTACTCTAAAAATGCAGGGGTGTGGCTTAAATAAGGCTCCACCTACAGACTAAAACTGTGTTTCGGTAGTGACATGAAAACGTGGAACAGCATTTTAAAATGAAAAAATATATGATTTTGTATATGTTTAGCTTATTACTGTCTTAATTAATGCCTTGGGTTAAAATAGATCATAACATATTCCTTGTAAATATCTAAGATCTGACCTAATTACTTTTATATTACTTTTTTACTTTTGATATTTTACACATCTGTATCACACTAACAGTATTTATTCTCAGTATATTTTTGTAAAATTGCAGAGAACAACGTCTACCCTGCTCTGATCAACTTATAGCTCCGCTGTGCTAAAGTTCCTCATGTTACTGCTGCTACTTGCAAAAATGATTAACACTTCAAACAAGTTTAATAGGCAAGGAGAAAGATCAGCTATGACCTTTCCACTGACCCCACACCCCTCTCATCATGCATGGCTTCATTCAGAGGCACTATAATGGAGGTCTCCATATTTGGACATTTAAATCAGTTTCTAGGCCTCCTTTTTGTAGTCAGTGGTGTGTTGAACACTCTGTTGTGTTACATAAGTGTTGCAATTATGACAGCTGAAAAGGCATTTCTTGGCATCTTTTTGAAGAATTTTCTATGAAATGGTTTTACGTATATGTTTAAAACTTACGTAAATTCTTTACTTCTTTATTTTTATGTCTTCAATAGTTGTGTGCACCCAGCTGCAGCGGCCGCATTTGTAGTGGTTATTATTAGAATACAGCAAAGTTTACACCAGTCAGGCATAACATTATGACCACCTCCTTGTTTCTACGCTCGTTGTCCATTTTATCAGCTCCACTTACTATATAGGTGCACTTTGTAGTTCGACAATTTCAGGACCCCCCATGGACCCTCACAGAGCAGGTACTATTTGGGTGGTGGATCATTCTCAGCACTGCAGTAACACTGATGTGGTGGTGTGTTAGTGTGTGTTGCGCTGGTCTGAGTGGATCAGACACAGCAGTGCTGCTGGAGTTTTTAAACACCTCAGTGTCACTGCTGGACTGAGAATAGTCCACCACACAAAAAAAATATACCTCAAAGCCTATTGCACACCGTTTTGCACAATTTTGATGATAAATGTCGATCAACCCGGAAACCATAGCAAAACGATACACAATGTTTGGAGACTGAACATGCCGCAGTAGTGTACTCAGTAGTGTAGAAGGTAAAGTGTAGGAGGGTGTTTAAATGCAGTATTAGATCAGCCATTGACACACGTTCATCAGTCTAGCAGCTCCAGTGGCTGATTATAGCTTTGCTGGGCCACTTGTTAGCTGGTCAATAAAATTTCTCAATTGAAATTTCAGTGGTGTGTTCATATAAAACAAACTTGTAAGTATGAAGGTATTAAAATATACTTATTGCTGCTTTCTTGCAATATACTTATTGCAAGAAAACCTTGTATCTCAATTTTTGCATCTTGTTTTTCAGTTGACATAATTTGAAAATGCCTGTTGCTCTTTAGATGGACCAAAAGAAACGACCCAAAATGACTTGGAAAAAAGTCTGGTTCCATTGACTTACATTAACAGTAAAGTATGTTTTTCCCTTCTCCTGTAAAGTGACCATTTTGGAGGTTTTCTTCCGACAACAGCGATATACATAAGTATGAGTAACAAGGCTGTTAAGGCGAAACGGTGAATAAGAAGCCTGCTTCAGCTTCATCACATTTTCTGGAGGCTGTATCTAAAGTGTCCACACATATCTTCATCCTTTTTGGGGTCATTCTGGCTATTTTGCTTGGCCTTCATCCACCTGCATGATTGTGGCTGCAGCAGTGGAGATGAGAAAAGCTATGTCCGAGTTAGCTTTCCTACCAAAATGGTAGTGGTTGTTCTAAATGATGTAATCAAATAATATAAATAGAGAGAATGCGCAAGAGTTTTACTTATGTAGGTACAATCCTTTACATTTAAATCTACTACAAAAATATAAAATATAAATAAAATAAAATAAAAAATTAATAAGAAAACAAACTTAAATACTACCCGAGCCTGAAATCCACTATTTTGTTAATCCCATTCAGGCTTAGATTTCTAGAACAGTTACAGACTGTAGCCATTTTGCTGCTGCACAATTTATCAGGCCCCCTCTACCTTATTCATCATTGGTCAGTTTCTGACCACAGGACCAGGTGTTGTTTGGGTGGTGGACCATTCTCAGCACAACAGTGCCCCTGACATGGTAGAGCATATAGCGTTAATATGAGAGTACACACACGTCAGTGTCACTGCTAGGTTGAAGGGGGTGCTCCATTTGAAAATGCCCAGCAAAGAGCAACTGAGAGAAACTGACCATTGATGAAGGGCTAGAAGAACACAAACTGCATCGACAGATGGGCTACAGTCTCTAACTGTATGGCAGGAAGGTGGAGCTACAATGGAGGGGGTTCTAATAAAGTGACCAGTCAGAATATATTGAGTATATTGTGTTTGTACCTGTACAGGATGAGCGGAACCAGGTGCTGATAGCGTACCTGTGGATCAGGCAGACGTGGTATGACGCGTATTTGAAGTGGGATAAAGAGGAGTATGATGGATTGGAGGTCATTCGCATCCCCAGCAGCCTGGTGTGGAGACCAGATCTAGTGCTGTATAACAAGTACGCCAGTACGTTCACACATACACGCTGAATTAGGGTGTGCTACACAAAGCAGGAGTTCTCACCAAACCACATAAGCCAACAATCAAGCCTGTCTAATAGGACAGTGCTAACTTTCAGCTGAAGTTATCCAGCTTATTAAGACATTTTGAATGACTGTAATTCTGACTATGTTATAACTGGAGTTAAAATATTACTAACCCCTTACATGGCCAGGGCCCACTGGAGGCCCAAAGCTTTGTTACACGTTTCCAGACTGAACCTCTAAGACTGAACTTTGGAATGTGGAAAAATGTCACTGCAGACTTCTTTGAAATGCTGAAAGCGAGTCTCCTGAAAAGAATGGAAGCTGTGATAAAGGCGAAGAATGCACACACTAAATACTAAAAAAACTGATATTGATGGTTGATATTATATTATATTTTCTAGCTTAGGCCTTCTGTGAAATATGTTTTCTGCTTTTTTTTTCCTGATGCTAAAAAATGAATTACTTTTTGGTCGTGGAAGGTAAAAAAATGAAAGAGTGGTCTCTAAAGTTTGCACAGCACTGTATGCTGCCTTATGTTTGTATCCTTATCTGTATATCAACACACACTAACACAACTGGACATTTGGGCTGGAGTAGTTACACTGGAGTTATATGAATGGATGTTACATTCCTTTTTTTGAACTTACATTAACAGATGTTAGATTTCATTTTTAGTTACATTAACAGATGTTACATCACAGTTACATTGTATTTTTAAATTACATTAAAAGGTGTAACCTTTTTATTTACCTTAACTGATATTGCTTTACATTTTTTAAGTTACATTAAAGATGTTACATTACATTTTTAAGTTAGATTAAAAGGTCGTACATTTTTAAGTTACATTAACAGATGTTACATTACAGTTTTAAGTTAAAAGGTCTTACATTTTTAAGTTACATTAATGGATGTTGCATTACATTTTTAAGTTACCTTACATTTTTAAGTTACATTAAAAGGTCTTACATTACCTTTTTAAAGTTACATTAACAGATGTTACATTACATTTTTAAAGTTACATTAACAGATGGTATATGTTTACCCATAAAGATATCATTTCTGAGGTTTTCTCATGACTTGTGTTCATGTAGGGCTGATGATGACCTCTCTGAGCCTGTGGACACTAATGTGGTTTTGCGCTACACGGGGGAAATCACCTGGGACGCTCCAGCCATCACGAAAAGCTCATGTGTGGTGGATGTCTCTTATTTTCCCTTTGACAGCCAGCAGTGCAACCTCACCTTCGGATCCTGGACCTACAACGGCAATCAGGTACACCTGAATTGAAAGTATAACAAGCATGCATGCATGATGTAGTCTCCTTTTATAATGACTTTGTATTTACAGCAAATATGAGTTTTGCACTGGGGCTACGAGGCTAATGTGGCTAACAAGTAATGGAACCTAATACCCCAAAAATTAGCATCGTGCCAGCTGCTTGCCTTAATCATCTCACGCTTGCCTCAAACTATGCCAAGTTGTTAAGTAATCTCAAATAGATCTGCTTATGTGGTTTACTGTTATCTATAAAATGGACCAGATGACGGCTCCTGCTGTTTGTAGAGATGTTTGTATGTATAGTGTGTTATACAGAACCCCATAGGTAAGTCTGTAAGTCTGTTGAAGGCTAGCCATGATTTAAGCATGCAGTTTGCACACTGCTAATTGGTACATATGCTTCTTTTACTTGTTAACATGTCTTGGCTGAATTAATACATCAGGAGAAAATTGAGTACATATGATTAGCATTTTAAGTGCTAAGTTCATTGTCTCATTGTTACATTACATTTTTTAGGTCACATGAATGGATGTTACATTATATGTTTTAAGTTACATGACCAGGTGTTACATTATGTTTTGAAGTGACAATAACAAATGTTATATTACATGTTACATTACATTTTTAAAGTTATGTTAACAGATGTTACATTACATTTTTACATTACATTAACAGATGTTACATTATCATTTTAAGTTATATTAACAGATGTTGCATAACATTTTCATGTCACATTAACAGATATTACATTACATTTTTACATTACGTTAACAGATGTTACATTACAATTTTTATGTTAACAGATGTTACGTAACATTTTTTAGTTACATTAACAAATGTTACACTACATTTTCATGTTATGTTAACAGGTGTTTCATTACGTTTTTAAAGTCATGTTAACAGATGTTACTTAACATTTTTAGTTACATTAACAAATGTTACATTTTCATGTTACGTTAACAGATGTTACATTACATGTTACATTATATTTTTTAAGTTACATGCTAATTGGTACATACACTTCTGTTACCTGTCAACATGTCTTGGCTGATCTGCTACATAAGGAGAAAATGAATATATTTGACTAGTATTTTAAGTGCTAAATTCATTGTCTCTTTAGTTTTACTTGGCTGAACTACCTCTTTAGATCTGACTTTATCACCTCCTCCTTTCACTTGACCCGCTCCCTCAGGTGGACATCACCATGGCGATGGACAGCGGCGACCTGTCCGACTTCGTGGAGAACGTGGAGTGGGAGTGTCACGGCATGCCTGCCACCAAGAACGTGATCATGTACGGCTGCTGCTCGGACCCGTACCCGGACATCACGTACACGGTGCTGCTGAAGCGCCGCTCCTCCTTCTACATCTTCAACCTGCTGCTGCCCTGCTTCCTCATCTCCTTCCTGGCGCCGCTGGGCTTCTACCTGCCGGCAGACTCTGGGGAAAAGGTCTCTCTCGGGGTCACTGTGCTGCTGGCCCTCACCGTCTTCCAGCTGGTGGTGGCTGAGAGCATGCCTCCATCTGAAAGCGTGCCACTCATAGGTGGGTGGCAGTGTGGTATTACACTATTACCCCAAAGTTTGCTTTTTGAGTTCTGCACTGGAGCTATGAAGCTAGTTTCTGATACTGTATGTAGACTGTTATCTATAGAAATGGATGAAAGCAGACCAGAGTTGGGCTTCATGATTGGTGCTACTACTGTTTATACCTGTGTAACATACTTCACATTATATTTTTTAGAAATAATAATCAATTCTTAATTCATTTCCATCAAGACAAAAAAAAAGCAATCTACAAGCAATCCTAACTGAATTGTTAAAAGTGCATACCCAGGGCTCTCTGGTGGCTCGGGGGCTGTAATCAACTGCATGTATCATACAGTATATCATAAGAAATGGCTCTGCACATAAGCAAGTCCAAAACATAAATGATATTTAACAGAAAATAACACAGAAGCCGCAACAACTAAATATTATAAGATAATAATAAAATACGTTTTTTTTAATTAGTGTTTTCACCCTTTTTCTTTTTTGTTTTTACTACAGCTTCAATTCATTTCGGGACAATCTGCAGAGATATTTGTCCACATCCCCAAAGTTCAGTATTAGAAGTGCATTTTTTCTTTTTCACAATCTGAATAATTTCAAACACATTCAGAGATCTTGAACTGAAGTCTAGACTCTGGGGTGGTTAGTCCATTGTTCTTAGAACACCAGCAGCTTCTTTGTTTGATTTCTTCTTTTTTTGTCTCAGTGAGGAACATCCTTTCAGACCCATAGTGTTGAGTTGTCTTTTCACAGTGGATGGATGGTCAGAAATATGTGTTTTTTCACATATGAAGCAAAAGTGGAGCTTGATTTTCTTCTCTCTCTTAAAGGTGAAAGCTGTAAGAACTGTATGTCTGAATGTTCTGGTAGTCTACCAGGTCTTGCATGGTTGTTAGGAGTCACATTTTTTGGAAATTCCTGTTTTTCCTCTTCATTCTGCATGTTAATTATCTTATATTAAATCTTCTCAAAAATATCTCCTGAAAAATGAATAAGGTGAAGGATTGTCTCTGACTTTTGCACAATACTGTACGTATTGTGCGAATTTCACTCCAGTGCGAAACTAAAGACACAGACTTTGGCCACTACTCATATTCTGACCAACTACATGTGCTGTAAAGAGGGAATTCTGTAAATTAACTCAGAATGAGTCAGTTTATGTCTTTTGCCAGTGATTTACTAAGAATATCAAATGAATGACTCACTAAAGAGTTGTACACTTTCTTTGATTCAGTCTCTATACCTGTTGGAAAACCATTTCAATCACATTGCTCTGCTGTTTCAGGTAAGTACTACATTGCGACAATGACTATGATCACGGCCTCCACTGCTCTGACCATCTTCATCATGAACATCCACTTCTGTGGCGCTGAAGCCAAACCCGTGCCGCAGTGGGCCAAAGTCCTCATCATCGACTACATGAGCAAGATCTTCTTTGTTTATGAGATCGGAGAGAACTGTGCCTCACCGCTGAGACAGAATGAAGACATGGAGGAACGTTACGGCCTGAAGCCTCATCAGAACCAATACCAAGGAAGCCTGCAGCACCTGCAGCCCAACAGGAAGCTGAAGGAGCCTCCAGGCCCAGGAGGTCTAAACCCCAGTCGTCATGGTCCACAACCACAGCTGCAACCCTCCATCTCTGGGGACCAGATCAGGATTTCTGCCCTTTTCTCTCAGACCTCAGGGAAGCAGGAGAGTTTTCTGAATGATGCTGTTTTGAAAGACGCTGCGTCTTCTTGTTGTCTGGACGATGAGAAGCAACCCCCTGCGGCTCTGACCTTTGATCTCTGCATATTCTGCGGCCGGCGTAGTAGCGGCGACGTTCTTGGGCTCTTCAGGGGTGACTCCAAGCTGGTCAGTAACGTAGAGTACATTGCAAACTGCTTCCGGGAGCAGAGATCAACGTGTATGAAGGTGGCGGAATGGAAGAAGGTGGCCAAGGTGATGGACAGATTTTTCATGTGGATCTTCTTCATCATGGTCTTCCTCATGAGCATCCTCATCATTGGAAAGTCGCCGTGACGACCAAGCGATAAGAGGACATTGCAATAGCACCATAATTGTGTGGTTTAGGTTATATTTTGCTGCTGTCGGACGAAAACCTGGTATCTCCAATTTTGTCGTTTTTTTTAGTTTTTGTCAAAATTTGAAAATACCTGTTGCCCTTTACATTGTGTGTAAAATTCATGAAGAATTGACCAAAAGAAATGGTCCAGAATGACTTGGAAAAATGTCTGGTTCCATTGACTTACATTAAAAATGAAGTAGGTTGTTTTCCTTCTCCTGTAAAATTACCATTTTGGAGATACGAGGTTTTCTTCCGACAGCAGCGATTTATTAATGGCTTATCATACTTATATAAGTGGCAGTGCTGTCAGTTTGAGGTATATTATATGTACAGTGAATATACAGTCATCAGCCACTTTATTAGAAACCTCTACCTTCACCTTCACCTTGCTGGTTTACAGTTACAGACTGTAGCCCATCTGCTGATGCTCAATTTGTATTAGCCATCCTCTAGGTCTTCATCCGTGGTCAGTTTCTGACCAAAGAGCCACTCTTGGTTGGATATTTTTGAGTGCTAGACCACTCTCAGCTTTGCAGTGACCGTGACCTGTGTTATAAAAAACAGCAACACCGCTGTACCTGATTTATTTGTACCCGCATCACATGCCACAATGCTATGCATACCATACCATGCCATACCTAGCCATAACATATCATACCGTTCACTGACCATGTTCCACCACTCAAATAATATCATGTTAACAATAGTCCTGTGATCAGAAACTGAGGGCATAGAGGGCACTTAACAAACTGTGCAGCATCTGATGGATACAGTCTGTAGTTGTGCTATATAAAAAAACACATTAATTCAGTGTATTTTAGGAGCTGCAGGCCAGAGTCCCCTCTCTAATAAAGTGACCAGTGAGTGGAAATACAAGGTAAGTGTTTTTTATAAAGTGGCCAGTGAGCGGTTGTTTCTAATAAAGTGGACAGGGAACATAATAGCATATAACTATTTCTGTGGGACAGAGTATAACAGAAATCTACATATACACTATATGGCCAAAAGTATGTGGACACCTAATCATCCCACCTATATGAGCTTGTTGGATGTTGGACATCCCATTCCCCTCCACCTCCCCCCACTACCAATTCAAGCGAAGCTTGACAATTGCACATAGTGATCTTAGGCTTGTGTGCAGCTGCTCCAAAACCCACTTCAAGAAGCTTCTGACGAACAGTTCTTATGCTGATGTTGCTTCCAGAGGCAGTTTGGAACTCTGTAATGATTGATGCAAGAGAGGACAGACTTTTAATGCGCTATGTAAGGCCCTGCTCTGTCCACAAGCACTTACAGTTGACCAGGGCAGATCTAGCAGGGCAGAAATTTCATTAACTTACTTGTGGCAAAGGTGGCATCCTATGATAGTGCCATGTTTAAAGTCATTGAGCTCTTCACTATGACCCATTGTACTGCCACTGTTTGTCTAGGGAGAGTGCACGGTTATGTGCTTGATTTTATACACCTGTCAGCAATGGGTGTGGTGGAAACACCCAAACTCAACAATTATGAGTGGTGTCCACATACTTTTGGCCATATAGTGTTCTTGACCAAGCAATATGTGTCACAAAAAGGAAAAGATGTCTTAATTGTCTTTGAATTATACAGACCCAACAGATACGCACACAGATCTATAAGCAGGACACCTGGCGCATATCAGATAGCTGGGTCTGAAACCGGACTCTTTGTGCACGCCCTCGCCCCATACTAATTATATTTGTACTGAAATCAAAAGTGCTGCATTGTTAATGACGGGGCCAGGAGGGGTAAGCCAATATGAGCATGAATTATGCAGCCTAATGTACCTCTGTGCTCCGGCTCAGACCCATCAGCCACCTCAGACCTCCTGCCTGTGTCTCCTGCTACACACGAACACCACGGACGCTCCAGCACCTGATTCTGTGTTTGTTTGCTCGTTTGTTTTTGCCATATTTCTGTATTTTAATTGTTAGGTTTGTAGCAATTCACGTTGAATATCTTTGCCACTGTTAGCAAAAACCGGGCAGCTGCAGACGTTCCTGGCTGGCACTGTAATTCTAAAGAACTGTAGATTAAGAGCAGCGGGTGCCGGGTACCTTTGAAAAGGATTAAAGTGGCTTTCATAAAGCTCTTCTAGAGCTTTAGCATATAATTACAAGAAGAAACATTAATAGCTGAGTAAGGGGTTAGGATATTAGGAACACAATGGCTGTTATTTCCAGTTATATTTTGCAACTTCAATAAAAAAAGGCTTTCTTTGATTCTTTCTGATGTGACTGGCATTCAAATACTGTAAAAATTGAGGTTTAAGGACTGTATTGCTGGGTTTTGCCCTCAGTGACCCCCAACAAAGAGATTATTATGTTGTTGCATTTCCTGTTGTCCTCCACTAGAGGGCAGCATACTCTACTGATTGGCAGGCAGGGTAACATGCTATCTTAAAGAAGAGCTGTTTATATTGTTTATTTGTAAATGTATGTGTATATAAGCATAAATATGTGTTCTCAACATGTCTATACTAATTCTATTCAAGTTTATGGAATGGAATTGCTCGATTAGTGAAGTGATCTGTAGCCTGAGGCGGTCATGAGCAGATCTCACTGCTGTGCTCTAACTGAGTGATTATTTATAGTCAGACCAGATGAAAACTGACCGCCATTTTGCACTGGCAGGGTCACATCTGCATCGAGCAGAAGTCACACCTTGACTCATCATCCTAAGGGATCATTATGAAAGAGAGAGAGCAGTTAATGATGTGAAAGGCAGTGCAGTATTAGGCCCTGGCTACCTGCAGGGCGCTCTGTGTAGGCTATAATCAGGTGTAGGCAGCAGGAGGAGAGAGTGCACTGAATTACAGAGAACTGCTCTGGCATAAAAGCGTCCACCTGCTTCTATTCACATGGCTAACAAAGAGAGCTCAGACTGATAGAATGGCTTTTATCTATATTGTTTTTGTGAGACTACAGGGGGCAATGAATGCAGCTTGTTTACAGTTTATAAAAATGTGAAGTGTTGCTGAAATTCAAGTGCGATTCAAGTGCGCCTTTAGGTCCCAGCACAGTTTTGTGGTTTGAAACATGACCAACACTTTAATTCATTGAAAAAAAGAACTTTTATAATTCTTGTGAAAGAAGCAGAAACATCTAATTCATCCACCCACTAAAAAGAAAAACAAAACACGATGAAAGCTTTAGGGGCTGCATTTCCATTGCTGTCCTAATGATCTGTATGCTGGACGACTGTGGCAAGCCTTGACCATTACGCCCCCAAATCGAGCCGTAAGTGTCAAAGCTTGGTCAAAAACCTTCTACAACACTGAGTGCGCTTACATTACTTAATAGTTTTTTAACTGCACAAAATCAGATGTCGTCAATAATTTGTTCAACATGTTTAAATGCACTTGGGTAATCGGATAATGGGAAAACTCAGGGTACACAGGCAGTAATCAGATCTGCTTTGCAACCGACCAATGAATTCACTGAATAAGACGTGACATCAAATGTCACACCACAGCTTTTTTTAAACGTCAAGTCACTTTAGCGGAAAATATGAATACCGTCGCTGTCCAAAGAAAAACAAGTATCTCCAAATTAGTAACTTTTTAGGAGGAGGCAAAAAACACTCCTACCTTTCAGTGTAAGTCAGCGTAAAGAGATTTTATTCCAAGTGATTTTAGAGCATTTCTATTGGTCCATTCATCATGAAATGTTCACACATCATAAACAGACAAAAAATAAAAATCAACAAAAATGGAGATACCTGGTTTTCTTTGGACAGTGACAATATACATCATTTAGAAGATGAAGAAAATGTTTATCCTTCATTTTGTCAAGCATGTAGTTGGTTTCAGCGTCGCTCCAAAAGTGTTCTGTTGCCGTCTTGCGGACATCGTGTTAAACTCTGCTTACTGTTTCCGCGACAGCAGTCTGTTTTCACACATGCGCAGGCTGAGGAAAATGAAAGAAATCAGAGTAAGAGTATGCAAGTGCTGAAAAACCTGATTACTGAGCTAAAATCCAGCTCTTTTTATCGGATTTCATAATCGGATTTCTAGGCCTAATTCTGATCTAAGAAATCGGAGTGTGCTGTTTACCTGACCACTTCAATAATCAGATAACTACCGAAATCCAACAATGACAGGATTGTTAAATGTGTGTAAGTGCACTACTGAAAGTGCTACTTTCTGCTAGCATCCCTATGGAATTCTAGCAGTTTGTTAGTGCTAAGCTAAGGCTAATTCACATGAATGTTTTTTGGTTGTTCTAGATTAAAAACATACATTCGAAGCATCTATAAGACATCCCATTTCTACTTGAAGCTTGTGACAGACATATTAGCATATACTTTACCCTGCAGCAGTTTCACAGTGACTCTTTGAGTAGTGAGCTGTGGTTAAAGCTGCTGCCTCAACCCACTGATTAGATGCCATTCCTATTGTCAGTCACTTGTCTTGAACTTCCAGAGCCTTAAAGCTTATCAAAAATAGAAAACATTGTTTTAAACTTGCCTATTTTGTTAAATACTTTATCTCAAATGCATCTTTAGAAACTAAAACAGTTTACTGGATTAAAAAATGACCAACACTTTAACTGAAAAGAAAAAAAACTGCTAGAAAAACCAGCCTAGACCAGTGTAGCTGGTCACCAGTAAAACCAGCATATCGCTGCTGTTGGAAGAAAGCCTCGTATCTCCATTTTTGTTGTTTTCCAGTTTTTGACATAATTTAAAAATGCCTGTTGTCCTTTGCTTTGTATGTAAATTTCATGATGAATGGACCAAAAGAAACGGCCCAAAACGACTTGGAAAAAATTTCTGGTTCCATTGACGTACATTAAAAGTAAAGTAGGTTTTTTCCTTTTCCTGTAAAGTTACCATTTTGGAGATACAAAGTTTTCTTCCAACAGCAGTGATATGTTGTGTTTTGGACGCTGGTATACTGGTCACTCAGCTAATGTCGGTCATGCAGGTCATGCTCGTCTGTGCTATTTTTTTAAGTAGAGAAGACAAAAAAGAGTCATGGTGTAAACTGACCAGCCCACCAGCACCCTGTTTAGTTAAACCCATTGCAGTTGAAATACATTTTCATTTCATTTAACTCGATGCCTGTTGAAAAAAAAAGTGGTGTCCAGAAGTCAGTAATGGTACTTTGTGTTTTCCTGATGGATTGATATCACAATGTAAAGGATTCTAATGGTTTAACGTGTTCTAGGACTGATTCCGGATGCATCTGATGGTTTTCTAATGGGATCCTGCTGGAAACTAGTGGTGGTGGTCTGCAATGGTAACCTTTAAGTCAGTTCCCATTAGAAAGCGAAACCATCAGGGTTTCGTCCTGGTTTGGGTGGTCCTGGGATGGTCTTTGTAAAATCAATTTAAGCAGTTCACACAGGAGACATACAGATGGTGGCAAATTAAAGGAAAAAAAAAACAACATAAAGGGCCAGATTCATAAAACGCAGCGCCAGATTTACTGTGACGTTAAAAGTAAGTAGCGTAGCGGTGACACCTTTGCTAATTGCAGTAAACTGGTTTGCTGGTGTGTTTTGCACAGTATGAGATTCCTTAATTTAAATACGGTGGTACTGATTTATAACACGACAAACAAAAAGAACTGGCTGAACCATTTTTGCGGGTAATTTTCCCAGTGAGAAGCTGATGTGGATTAAGTAATATTTCCTACAATGTTTCCAAACATGTTTGGTCTCACATGCAACAAATCACACTTACACACAGACGCGTTTTGATCTGTTTGGGCGGAGCAGCATGACAAACCTTCAAACTGCTGTTGTGAAAAAAGACTTTTCAGATTGACAGTTTTAACTGGCACTATGTGTAAAACAGCCCCTTCTTCCTGCATTAAACTCCATGTTTGGTGAATCACCAGTGTGTAGAAAGTGGGTTTAGCTTGGAATCCAAATCAGTGAAGAGGAATTTGACATGTTGAGATTCTAATGACATGTTGGAATGATTTTATTGCAAGTTTTGAATTCCTGAGAGCAAGAAAAAATAGGAAACAAAAACTTAAGCAGCTTTCTATAGTAATTAGAAATTCAGCATGTCGATTCAATTTTTAATTATATCAAATTTTAAACTTTATACTAATAAAAATTGTTACTAAATGTAAATTACAATGAATTGGAAAAAGGCTGGAATTATTATTGTTATTATTATTATTATTATTATTATTATTATTATTACTCAATAATTTAACTAATTAAATCTTACATTCTGAAATATCATTCCAACATTAAAAGTTGAATCTTGAAATGTTATAGTATTTTAAATAGTAAAAACTTTCTAAAAAAAACTTCCTTAAAATTCAAAAGCATCTTTAAACTAAACAAGTTGTTAAACTAAACAACTGTTAATTGTCAGCACTTCTTCCCTTAAAATTCATAGCTCTGTTTCTGAGAATTTGTTGTTTTTTTAATTCTTTAATTTCTTTTGGCAGCCAACAGGGGCCTCACTTGGCCTGCCTGTTTAATATATATATGACCTCATTTACATATCAGTTTTGATTGGCTCTTACTAGGACACAGTGCTGCACATTTTGTATGGTGTAGGGCTGTTACTGTTGAGTTTTATCAATCTGGCCCAAAGTGTTTTAGTAAAGTGTTGGGCCACCACGAGCCACTTAAAGAGCTTTAGTGCACCTTGGTATAGATTCTACAAGTCTCTGGAACTGTACTGGAAGGATGGAACACTATTACTTCACAAGATATTCCTTCAGCTGGTGTTTCTATGATGGTGGTGGACAGCGTTATTGAGCATATCAGCCCAAAATCTCACCTAGGGGTTCAATTGTTTTAAGATCTGGTGAATGTCAAGGCCAAAGCATATGATTTACACCATTTCATTCTCAACAAACCATTCAGTGACCCCTCATGTCCTGTGGATGGGGACATTGTCACTGTGGGAGAGATCACTCTCATCAGGATAGAAATGTGTCATCATAGTATAAATTGATCCATCAGATTGAATTTGTATTGATTTGCAGTGACCTTCCCAAACCATGCAAGCAAACAGCATAACAGAACCACCAGACCCCTCATTGTAGGGGTCAAGTCTTCAGGCCAGTGCAATTCCCTTGTTACATGCAATACATGCACTGGAGAATATGGTGAAGGGTGACTCATCTGGCCACACTTTTTCCGCATCCACAAGCATAAACATCGTTCAGGCATAACATTACGACATAACATATTGTTTCTACGCTCATTGTCCATTTTATCAGCTCCACTTCTCTATATACGTGCACTTTCAGTGGTCAGGCCCCCCATGGACCTCTGTAAGGGTCCATGGGGGTCCTGACCACTAAAGAACATAGTAAAAGGGGGCTAACAAAGTATGCAGAGAAACAGATGAACTACAGTCTGTAATTGTAGAACTACAAAGTTCACCTATATAGTAAGTGGAGCTGATAAAATGGACAATGAGCGTAGAAACATGGAGGTGGTCATAAGGTTATGCCTGATCAGTGTATTTCAAAATATATGTACGTATATCTTATGAATATACACATATATATATGCCACTTGCAGCAGTGCGGAGCAACACCAGCCTTTTACGTCATTAATGTGCAACTTGAATTCCTCCAGCTTGGCGGCCATCTCCCACCCCTGACACCAGTGTAGCGTTGGTGTAGAAGAAAATGACATTGCACATATGGGTGAATAGTCTTTTATTTTGAACAGGCACTTCAGCGGCAACAAGAAATGCCTAGCCCAGTTCTGCCCCAACATGAAACACAGGGAGAGGGGTAAGGGAGTAGGCACCTCTAACACACTGTAACCCACAGTCCTCGGTTACAATTACTCTAAATAACTACAAACTAAACCTCCCAGCAACAACAACCACAGCAGTCACAAATAGCTGACCTTCTTATATTAGTACGGTGGCAGGGCAGCCCGTTGCAAACGCCACAGTATATTGTAGAGTCATACTATCAGCTCATTCAGCTGTGGACATGCGGGAGGCACCACAGGTACTGCTGTACAGCGGTGAGAGAGACTAAGAAACACGGAAACACGTAGTTCTTGTGGCTTAAATGCTGTATATATGTGCTTGTTGGGCTATTCTGTGCTGGGTTATGGGGTGGTTTGTGCAATGTTAGTGCTCAGGTGTGTGGTTATTGATGGCCTGCCTGCTTTGCTAGCCATTCAGCAGTGCTGAGAGGTGAGTTTCCCCTGCTGCATGTTACTAAAAGAGTACTAGTTTGAAGCACTGTGAATTCTTCATCTACGCTGATGCCACAATATTAAACATTTCATTTTAAGCCAAAACTTTTCCTCAAAACTATCATAAAACAGTTTTTAGCATTAGACAATAATATTTGTAATTTGTAACCATGTCATGTAATTATTTTCTGTGAGGGAGCTTTCAGCGCCATTAAGCACTTCAGACGTCTGGTTCCTATCACCACCACTGTGAACAATTCTGAGTGTTTCTCTAGAATAAAGAATTTCACACCAAACCACTCTGAATTCCCCTTTAAGCAAGCAGAATGGTAGAATTCTGAATAACAGAAGAACAGAACAGTAGAATGTTGCTGCCTTGCAAGCTCACAAGTATGCATACTTGATGAGGGAGCTTTTAGAGGCTTTGAACTCTTCAGACGGCTGGTTCCTATCACTAACACTGTGAACAATTCTGACTCTAAAATTGAGAAAAGTTAGTGGAATTCCCCTTTAAGCAAGCAGATTGGTAGAATTTTCAACAACAGAAGAACAGAATAGTAGAATTTTGCTGCCCTGCAAGCTCACAAGTGTGCACACTTGATGCTCGCACACTCACTTTGGAGCACACTTACACAAACAGGCACAAACCGAGTGCTGTAGAGCACAAGCACGCCTTTACAACCTAAAGACACGCCCCCTCATTCGCATAAAGTTACTATGGTAACCAGAGCTGCGCGTTCCAGCGGGATGGTATGGTCACCAGCGACGCTTCTTTAACTTGCCTGAAGAATTTGCTGGCAACTTAGCAAGGTTTGTTAGACTAGAACAAATTCAAACAGGGTCAGTTCAACAAACGCTGGCTAATATCTTAAAAGTAAGGAGGACTTGTCTCTAGCTAGCCGTCCATAGCAGTAGAGAGTAAGTTGGAGGCGGCTGAGATTTATCGTTACTGAACCGCTAGCTAAGGCTAATACAGACAGGTAAACTTCTGAAAGGCGGACGAGAAACACTGCGAGTTTACACATTAGCTAGTGGGCTATGGTCTCATACGAAAACACGTTTGAAGGAAGACTTTCTGCTGCTTGTCTGGTAAGTAATGTTAGTTCTCTATAACTGCAACGACAGTGAACTTTGATAGGTTTGTTTTCCAACTTTGTTAACGTTACTTTGCCAGGATTTTAAAGGGGAATTCCACCGACTTTTAAAACGTCTGTATAATTCAGTGGTTGAAATATAAACAAGTCACTGAGATTGGTTTGATGTGGAATTCATTTGCAAAGAAACTTAAAGCCTAGGAATCAGGAGCACTGATGTCTAAAATGCAAATATAGCCATTTTATTCACTGTCCAAAACCACCAGTGAACCTACACGTCTCCTTTGAGGTTTTATGTAATGTTGATGACGGTTAAATGTTAGTGGTCAATCTGAAAAAAATGTTTTCTTCCAGGACTATTTTGCTTTGGAACAATCTGAATGGATTAAAATAATTTGATTAAAATACGTTTTAGACCAAAACTTCATCACAAAACTGTCATCAGGCATCGTATTCACCATTGCATGAAATAACTTTTTATTGTGAGGGAGCTTTTATTGGTATTAAACTCCTCAGACGTCTGGTTCCTATCACCACCACTGTGAACAATTCGGACTTTGTTTCTCTAGAATAAAGAATTTCACACCAGACCACTCTGAATGACTTTGTTGACATTTTAACCCTTCAGTTATGCAAAGATTTAGAAAATTTGGTGTACCTTCCCTTTAATATAAGTAGCCAATTTAACAGCTAACAATTTCGTTAGGACTAATAGCCTTGCTGTCATGCCTGGTGTGCCAATATGGCCTATGTTTCTCAGCTACATGGTGTTTGCGTCCACTGTAAGATATCATAAATCAGATCCAGGTCTATTTGGTGCCTTGGAGTAACACTAGAGGCCAGACAAGGAGCCATTTAGGAGCCATTTGTCATTTGATCACTGCTATTAAACTGTTTGGGTCTTTGTTGGGCTTGAAGTGCATTTTTTAATTCCTTTTCACTAAATATTAAAGGGGAGCTCCACCAGTGTTTCAAAATTTGCACATAATTTAATAGTTAAAATGGAAACAAAGTCATTCAGAGTGGTTTGGTGTGGAATGCTCTGTCCTAGAGAAACTTACAGAGTAAGAATTGTTTGCAGTGGTGGTGATAGGACCCAGATATCTGAAGCATTTAATGCCTCAGTTTCCCTCACAGACGGCTATTATATGAAATGGTTATGAATATACTCACTGATGTCTGAGATGTTGTTTTACAATAGTTTTGTGATACGATTTGGGCCTAAAATGTGTTGTTAATCCATTTATTTGAATACATTGGAGGAGGGGGACATGTCGGGCATGTAAGGCAAAATAGGCCCCAGAGAAAACATAATTTTTTCAGATTTTCCACTATTTTACCATCATCAACATTACATATAAAACTCAGAAGACACATGTAGGTTCACTGGTGGTTTTGGATAGTAAATGAAGTGTGTGTTAGTGTGTGTTGTGCTGGTATGAGCGGATAAGACACAGCAGTGCTGCTGGACTGTTTTTTAAACACTGTGTCCACTCACTGTCCACTCTTACCTTACACTCCTACCTTGTTGGTCCAACTTGTTGATGTAAAGTCAGAAACAGTAGCTCGTCTGCTGCTGCACAGTTTGATTTGGCCATCCTCCAGTCCTTCATCAGTGGTCAGAGGATGCAGTGTTTAAAAACTCCAGCAGCACTGCTGTGTCTGATCCACTCATACAGGTGCAAAGCATCACCACTATGTCAGTGTCACTGCAGTGCTGAGAATGATCCACCACTCAAATAATACCTGCTCTGTGGTCATCCCGTGGGGGTCCTTATCATTGAAAAACAGGGTAAAAGGGGGCTAAAAAGTATATAGTGAAACTACAGTCTGTACTTGTAGAACTACAGAGTGCACCTATATGATAAGTGGAGCTGATAAATTGCACAAGAGATGGCTTTAAAGCTATGGCTGATCGGTGTAGATGCTGGATGTACTAAGCAGGAACAGTAAATAGTTTAATTTCTCCTTGAGTTATTATTTCATTGCTGTGTCGGTACTTTACTTCAAGATTTTAGACTACCCATCTATGTTTGCCAGAGATTTAAAATTCTCCATTTTAATAGTAATTATAATATTAACCCCTTAAATTCTAGGCTTATTATACAGTAATTAATCATAAGACTTAATATTTATCACCAATGTGCATTATTTGGTAACCCATTCAAAACTAAAATGTAAGTCCTGCAATAGGAATTGAAGTGTGAGCCTACTTATGGGGTTTAAACTGGAACTCCACTGATTTTGCAAAATTACTTAATCATTCAATGATTTAGTTGTAGATGTAAGAAATTTACAGAGTCAAAATTGTTCACCATTGTAGTACTAGGAACCAGACATCCGTATGTCTACACTGCAAATATGACCATTAAACAGCCGCGAGTTTTCACCCCATATAAATTCCCCATATAAATTCACCCAAGATAACACAGCATAATTGAGATTCTGTGATAAATATTATTTTCAATTCGAGTAAACAGTAAACAGTCATACTGATAAATACTTTTTGTACCGTTTGACGTCGGTTGGGTGAATACAGCTGCCGTACAAACCTTTTTTGAACCTTTTTGCTTTCCATAGTTCCAGCGTTGCTTGTCTTTGTTATCTGTTCAGTGAATGCGCGCATCCAAAGATCTGATTTGTCAAAGAGAACGTGAATTTGAGGGGGAATTGAATCCGATATAACACTGGTGTTAGCCGTGTTGAACGGCTGTAGCTACAGGCTGCAGTAACTACAAAAGCACATAAGCTTGAGCGCATTGATCTCAGTTGAGAATGCGGTTTTGACAGGAAACACGAAAGTAATCCTGAAGTAATATTTTAAAAATATGTTTTAAACTTTATAACAAAACTGTCACAAAACAATGTCTCAGGTATCAAGCAACGCATTTATAACTGTTTTGTGTAATAACTTAATGGGATGTAGCTTTTAGACCCATTAAATGCTTCAGACGTCTGGTTCCTAGTACTATAATGGTGAACAGTTTTGACTTGATAAATTTCTCTAGAAGGGCGCATTTCACACCGAACCACTCTGAATGATTTTGTTCACATCTAAACCATTGAATGATTAAGTAATTTTGCAAAATCAGTAGAGTTCCCCTTTTAAAGGGGATACGTTCACATACTTAATCACATCCTACTGCAGTGCCACATTAGTCTCTAGTGTGAGATTTTCCAGTTTAAAGACAAGGAAAATCCCCTTCTGATGATGTATGTCGAAGGTGGGAGGACGTTTTGTAAAACTACAGTTGCTTTGGGGTGGATATTTGGTGACAGGCTGTTTTGAAAGGGGTTTTTGTATTAACTGGTAAAGGCAGATAGCTAAAATTACTGTGAGGAAGCTAAATATCTTGTTGCAGCTGTATAACTGTAGTGCCCACCTTTGAATTATCAATTCAGTGGAGAAAATGGAATGAGTCATGAGGAGGACAACCAACTTAAAACTAAAGTTAGCTGACTATGTAGAAACCTTACTTAGTTTGGCTACTTTTTCTCTGGCTGACAGGATAAAAACTGTTCTTTGACATTCATTTGTTTTGAGAATAAAGGTAAGATCACTGCTTTCTTTCCGATTTTGTTCAGTGACTGAAGCAAGAGTTAATGATTGACAATCATCAATGTGTTGGCCTATAGATAAGAGGCTAGTCTAGCAGTCAGAATTGGTTGACACCACAGGGATTCCCCATTGTTATGTGATGTGTTTGCATGCTTTGTATTGTGGAGAACATTGATGAATGACACATGAAAACTATATAAGATCATACATTTTGTCCCACTGATGAGGCTGAGATATATAATGCTTCACTACAGAATTCTGCATTACACAACAAACATCAATTTAAACTTCAGTTTTGGGGAAGAAAAAAGTCTGTGATCATATGTTTTGTTCCATTTACACAGTGGCTGTGGAGCTGAGGTGTTCAGGCTGAGAGAGGAGTGGAGATCAGAAAAAGCAGGATGGTGAAACATGGAGCTCATCACCGCTCCTCAACTCGCTCCTCAAAACGTGCCTCACACATCTCCGGCTTCAAAGAGCTCTCCCTGTTGGAGCGGGATAGGGAGCCTCCGGCACCTCCAGTCCTGAGGCCCGACCTCCCCTCCGTCCAGCCACAGTCTGAGCCATCTGCCCTGGGGGATGGTCCAAGCCGCATCCCTGACCATGTCTACCTCCACGCAGCTGCCATCTTTCAGAACACACACCAGGAGAAGGCTGTAGCCCATCGGCTTATCAGCTATGGGAAGTCAGGGGTTACTCTGCCGGAGGTCAAGGACGAGGTGTCGCAGCGGTTGGCCTACAAGCTGGCCTTCAACACGCTCAAGTGTAAGTGGATGGAAATGTAGAGAGGCACTGATTTATCAGCCTTTTCCGTGAGGTTACACCTTAACTAAGGTTATGTTTAAGCGATAGTTTGGCAAAAAAAAATAATTATAAAAATCTATTTTTTTCAATCAACCAAGACATGTTTGGTTTCTGAAGCTTGTTTATTTCCTTTTGCACATTTAGTTGAAGCTAATAGAAGTTATGGATGTTTATTTATACCTGTTAATGTGCAAAGTGCATACCTAAATCATTAAATACTCAAACTGTCTAGTTGTTAAGAAATCCCAAATATTAACAGCCATCTTGAAACCTTCCTTTTGCCTGTCTGTATGAGATTACTTAACTACTTGATGCAGTTTAAGTGTGTCCCATTACTTGTTAACTACGTTAACCTCATAGCTGTAGTGCAAAACTAAAGAAGCAAACTGTAAATGGCTTCATTTGATGGACGGAGAGAACTGTGTGAATTTCATTTTTTGCCAAACTCTTGCTTTGACCCTCTGGGACCCACGAATGCACCAAATTCAATTGTTTCTATATATGTTTCTCTATCTTTGCGATAATACAGTGCAGAAATATGGCTCAAAGATTTCCTGAATCTGTAGAGTTGCCCATTCCATCTTGTCATGGGATTGTACATGACTCAAATCCAGAGTTATGAGGCTTTGAAGAGGGTTTGAGATACATGTGAGATACATATCTGCCATCTGTTGCCTCACAGCAAGAAGGGCCTGGGCTCGGTTCCCTGGCCAGGCAACCAGGGTCCTTTCTGTGTGGAGTTTCCATATTCTCCCCATGTTTGCGCGGGTTTCCTCCAGGTACTCCAGTTTTCTCCCATGACATGCAGTCAGGCCAATTGGAGATGCTAAATTGGCCCTAGGTGTGAGTGTGTGTTTGGCTGTAAGTGGTTTAGAAAATGTCTGTGTGTGTGACCAATGGACATTCAGGAAATCACTAAAGACTTACCCATCACATCAGAAACCCTCCATTCTTTATTCAGTCAAATTCGGAGACACTTTAAATGGTGTGCAAAGAGTGTACAGCCACTGACGTTGCTGCAGTGGGTTTGGGAAGTTGAGATGCAGAAAATGGACAATTTTGATATGAAACATATGGGTATCATGTTATACCCAAGTGCCTTTAAAGGCAAATTTAAGGAGGTATGCAAATATTGAGGAAATGCCCTCAGACCCCAGAGGGTGAAAGGCTGTTAGTACTGGAATTTGATTTCTGATATGTGGAACTAGGCTGTATGGCCCATTGTCTGCATTCTCATTGTAAAATGTCAGCATAAATAAATTGTAATAAATTGTAGTGAGACTTATCAACTGTTTACAGTGTTGGTGATAGGAATCAGGGCTCATGGTGTCTACAGCACAAATGTGGGCATTTTATTTATTATCCAAAATAACCAGTGAACCTACATGCATCTTCTGTTTTGCCTTACAATGCTCTGCATGTACTCCTCCACTATGAATGGGTTTTAAAAATATGCTTTAAGCCAAAATCTTCTCAACACTGTCATAAACCAGAAGCTCAGACTTCAGGTAGCATATTCATAACCATTCTATATAATAGCTTTCTGTTACGTAGCTTTTAGAGGCATTAAACTGTTCGGACATCTGATTTCACCAGACCAGATCACCACTACTGTAAACAATTCTGACTTGTTAAGTTTCTCTTCGAAGCAGTTTACATCAAACCACTCTGAATGACTTTTGTAACATCTTAACCACATAATAATTCACATTTTTTGCATAAACTAGTGGACTCCCTCCTTAATTATACAGATATGTTAAATAATGGTTGAATTCCCTTTCAAAGGCGAAACTGTTCCGTACGGTATGTCCAAGTGTAAGAGAAAAAAAAAGTGAGAGACCCCACAATTGTTTATTATCTTTTGTAAAGGTCACAGAAAACCCAACCCTGGCCCTCGGGTATTAGCAGAGGGAACGAAGGTCAGTCTAAACTGGAACAAGAGGTCAGATAAGCAGCAGCATATGGGTGAGACTGTTTGTGTTTGTGAGCAGGACAGATTGCAGTGAGAGTGTCATTGGCAGGCTGAATTGAGTTTTGATAGGTTGATTGAGGTGAGGAAGGAAAAGGCTACCATGCCTAGGAGGGATCCCACTACCCACAATGCAGCAAATCAATTGGGCCAATCATCTGCCGTCTGAGCAGCCCGGGGGGAGTCGAAGGTTCTCTAACCGCGGAGAAGTGGTAACCACGGAGATAAGAGAGATTAGTAGAGGATGTTTCGGTGAGGCAGATAGATGGGGGCATTGATCTCTTCCTCTCAGCTCAGGGGAAGACATTCGCTCAGCCAGCAAGCCCCCAATGTCTCAGCGTGGATTTACACTAAGCCTACGTTTCCCAGAATGCCTTTCTGCTGCCATTCTTGGCAGACTCCCCTGACGCATCCAAATGAATTGCAGTAGTTGGAGCTTGATGTTATGCCATTGAAGGAATAGTTAGCAAAAAAAATACACACAGTTTTCTGCAGCATATTTGGTTGATCAGCCAAGATGTTTTTGGTTTCCATTTTGCTTCTTTGTTTTAGAGCTCGATCTACAAACAACAGAAGTCACTAGTTAACCCAAATATTTTCTATAAATACAATCCTGGCAAATAAAATGGACCAAGCCCAAAATGGCAAAACATTAAGCTTTTAGTTGTCTTAACAACAAATCAGTAGTTATTAAATTAGCAAGAATTAAATAAAGAGAGCAAGTAACTTAGTATGAGAGAACTTTTCCCTTTGATTTCTTTAAATGTCTTCATTAAATGTTTTTTTTAAAAGTCTTGTGGGTAAACTTGCTGACAGCCTTTTGCAGAAAGCAGAGTAAATATTGTTCCACTAAGCATGGATGGCCATAAACAGTTGAAAAACTTTGGCTAGCTAGTTTGTGTTTAACGTGAGATTGAATATTCTTTATAGGGTGTAAATCTGGGGCCAGAGTCACGAAAGCTTTCTTAAGAGAAAACTTGCAAGCGTTCTTAAGACAAACACTAAGAAGTTCGTAAGAATGTTCTTAAATGTAATTCTCAAAAAAAAAAGAAACTTAAGAAGTTCTCAAATTTTCTCTTAGAATAATCAGTTCCTTAAGATTTTCTCAGGAAAATCTTCATTGTTTTCTTATGTATTCTATGGTGCATTTTACTGCTTACCATAAATGCAGCGAGATACATTTTTAAATTTTTGTCAACTGTTATTTCCATTATTTAATCCAATCAGAGGAACAAAATGGTGGAAATACATCAAACCAAGGGTTTAAAAAAATTAGCAAACAAGAACTACAGGTGATGGTGGAGGAAAACGCCAACCAGAAAAAAACCCGAGACGAGAAAGGGTGTGTGGAGTCAATACAACTTAGAAAATATCATTTAAATGGATTATGGTACAGTTATGTTCCCTGAATAAAGGTACTGAGATGTACCCCTGAGGGTCCCACCCCAGTGACAAGAGGGGTGCTGCCCCAGAGACAGTTTTGTGCCTTTTTTTTTTAGAGTGTATAGCATCAAATAAACTGCATGCCTAAAATGGACAAACACACCAATTACTGGAAATGGTATGAGATCTGTGATTTAGGCATGCAGTTTGCATGCTGACCATAAACTTCAATTACATGTTAACTACATTAGCCTTGTAGCTCCAGTGCAAAACTAAAGAATGGCTGATTGACTGCTTTTAGGGTAACAAAATAACTGTGTATATTTGATTTGTATTCCTTTAAGATGAACCATGAGCAATTAGCCTAAGCCTGATTTCAAGTCACTGTGAATGGGGAAAGGGAATTTGCAGAGGCACAAATGGTATAAACGTGCCCCGTGTGTAACACACTACTTCGTCTCCCGTTGTGGGACACGGGATGTTAATTAAAAGTATAATAAGAAGCTTGGTCTCATCATTGTGATGCAGCTAAGTAATTTAAAGCAGATTTTGCCATTGTGGTAGGATTAGCAGCTAATTAAGAGAATAGCAGTTAGACAAGGCAAGATGGTGTTAATATGATAAAACACTGATACTTGCATATTTAAAGCAGATTTTTGCATCAGCAGTAACCTTCAAGAATAGCAAAGTGTGCAGCTCAGACAGCGGTCGTGTGCGTATGCATATGTGTGTGTTTACAGCATTGTGCAGAATCTTGGGCAGTTTGATTGTTCAGAATTGCTTAAAACTGTTTATCTGGGCAGTTTACACTGATGAGCTGGAACATTTTGACCACTCACAGATAAAGCAAAAAATGTAGGACACCTTGTGTATATTATATATTAGATTATAAATTAGACAATTAGTGAACAGTAGGAGTTGGAGTTGATATGTTGGATGTGAGAAAAATGGTAGCATGAAGACCTGAGTGACTTTGACCACAGCCAAACCGTTATGACCAGACAACTAGGTTTGAGCATCTCTGAAATGGCAGTGGTCCAGGGAGGGACAAACCGCGAACCAGCGACAGGGTGTTGGACACCCAAGGCTCATTGAGTATCTAATCAGGACCGCCAGAAGGGGAACTGTGGCACAAGGCACAGAAATTATTTATGATGGTTACGGGAGGAATGCGTCACAACACACAGTGGGTTGCTGCATATGGCACTGACTAGCCCCAGATCAGTGTACCTGGTAACTACCGTCCACTGTTGAAAGCGCCTACAATGGGTACACAAGCATCAGAACTGGACCTTGGAGCAATAGTAGAAGGTTACCTGCTCCAATGAGTCGTGTTTTCTTTTAAATCACATGGATGGCTGGTTACGTGTGCACTGTTTACTGGAGAAGTGATGATACCAGGATGCACTGAGGGAAGAAGACAGGCCAGTTGCGGGAGTGTGATGCTCTGTGTGATGTTTCTTGGAAACTGAGTCTGGGCATTCATGTGGATATCAATTTGACATGTGTCACCTACCTAAACATCGCTGCAGACCAGGTACATCCCTTCATGGCAGTGGTATTCCCAATGGCAGTGGCCTTTTTCAGCAGGATTATCCACCCTGCCACA